GGGAATCATCAAGTGAGATCACCTCCCGCCCTGTAAACACTTTATCTGCGGGATTCTCTGATTCCATTTGAAAAACAATGTCTGGTCTCCGAGTTTGTGCCAACATCACTCCTCCAATTCTCTGCTCTGTCAAGATCTGCTGGACTTGACACATTGATATTGTCAGTGAGGAATGCTCAAGATCACCTGCAAGCTCAAGGTGTTATGGTTGTCTTTGCTCAAAGCATACCGCTGTTAAAAGAACATGACTTTGGAATAGTTCTTCTTTGTGGGGATTCTTATCAAACTTCAGACCATAAGCACTACCTAAAGAGAAGAAACAGCTAAAAATGAAGTTGGAATTAGTTTAAAAAAGTATATCAATATAAATGGCTTCAAACTATCAGCACCAGTAGATGAATGCTTGACATGAAGTGCTTTAATGCACTTACACAATCAAAACTGATGATCCAGTGGAACTCGTTCCATCTTGCATTTTATTACCGCTAAACAGTAGATTTATTACCTTCAAATTTTACACATCATATCATGCTTTGTAGATTGCATTTACAAGAAGTGGTGAGACTGGATGGCACAATGCATGCTCTCTGGCTCCCAAATGAATGTGCTTTAGTGATAAGGACCGGATGAGAGGACAGAAGATACGGCACAATGCAGCGGCACATTTCCCGGCATGAGCTGTTTCACTGTGCAGTAGTCTGCGTTATATAATTCTGATGGGGTTCGCTGGCCCCTTACAGTTCATCTTCCCCCTCTAAAGTGTGAAAACAGGGCCACCTCTCTGGCTGTGTTAGACTGTCCTCTGACAAATGTGCGGAAACAAATAGGCATACAGACAGTATGTCAGAGTGTCAAATTACATCCAGTTAACAAACAGCCCCAGAGTTGACTTTTGTTTGCCATGTGGGAAATACATGTCCCCCGATTAATGCTGAATCATGATATTGAAATAAGAGCTATGGGTGGAGCGCGGCAACGCTCACCAGCCTCCAAGTCTACACCCTCACCCTACCCCTTTTCTCGGGAACAGCTCCCTGCCATCTGTCAGTATTGGAAAGCCCTGGTGGCTTGCAGCAGGTTTTTCCAAACCTACATACATGGCTGCCTTTCTCTGTCAGAGACTCTGTTGTGCATGAACCCTCAGCCGTAACCAGCCAGCGGGCTAGAAAATGGTGTCAGCCTAGCCAAAGCCTCATTGACACCCATGAAAAATCTCTCTTAGTAGTGCTATTGACCCAGGACATAATCAGATGGTGGGCTGTACGTTGGCCAGAGAAGACACAGTAAAAGTTAAGAAAGCATTACCACCAGTGATGCCACTTTAATGTAATTGGACAATGTTTACCTAAGTGCTATTTAATTGTCTGACTCCTCTCTGAATCTTTCATGCAACTCTGTGCCGCAAACAAACATACCACAGCACTGGCAGTGTCTCCTTATTAGTTATTCATGGCTTCATTTGCTTCATATCTCCCCTCATTCTTTTCTGTGCAATGCTGAAAGCCGGCAGAAAGCACATCCTCAGCTGAAACCTGTGAGTAGAGATGGCTCCTGCGTTATCAGTGAGGAAGAAAAGAGTGTTCCTTTATGAAAAATGACTTCAATGAAGTAAAGAAAACTCAGGATAGAATAGAGAGGAAGCCTCATTATGAACAAATAAAAGTCTGTGTGTGTAGAGGTTGTTGTTTTCATGCAATATCAAACTTCTGGCCTCTGTGTATGATATTATGAATTGAATTATACTGAAAAAACTCCAACAGTCATTTCCTCTATCAGCAAGAGGCTGAATCATAAAATGCGCCTCTTTCGCCTCTGATGCCTTATTTTTGCCGAGCCCCTAGTCCTAATAAACTTTGTGTGGAGCTCATAAATCAAGTGCATGTCTCCTTAACAGATACATGATGATTAAAACAATGTATGATTAAAAAATCATGTTCAGTTAATCTCGAGTGTACTCAATTATATAAACCCATCTTGTCCGAGACATAAGGGACGTGCCTCAACAATGTCATTTCACCCGTGTCAAAAATAGGCAAAAGGAACAGAGGGCAGCGAAAAGAAAGTAATAGACTTGAGTTGAAACACCGAAAAGGCTATTGGTGTGGCCTCAGGGTCATGGACCAGCTGTGACAACGACCTCCAAGGGTCTTTGACTTTGACCGACAGCAGATTGGGTGGACAAGGACGATTCTAGCAGCCTATGCTCTGGTGTGTACTTAAATTGTAGCAGTTGTTAGGTGTTATCACATGAGAAATAACTGCAACTTAAAGCCTCCTCCTCATTAATAGCATTTACATCTCAACAACATATGGTGAGCTACTTCCTGCATCTTAACTACCCTCATATTAAAAGCGGTGAATTTATCTCACGAGGAATTAGGGAAATGTTTTTGTGTGAGTGTTATTGGACTGACCCTGTTCTGGCGAGGTCAAATCTGATTGACAGTTCTGTAGCAAAAAATGGTCTCTCCAATATTGCTGTAATTTGTGACTAAAGAACTATGGGTGATAAACTTCAGATGATTAAGGCTTTTATTTCTACAATGCATATTGGTTTATAAATGAACTGTGCTCATATGAGATTAGAACAAATGACAATTCAGTTTATTTTAAAAAAAAAAACATAAATACTATCACTCTAATACATCTACCTATGTTGTGTATACGGTATATACTGTCATATCCACCTACCTCATGTATATAAAGAAACCTACACGTAAAATATTTATTTCAGCATCCATAGCACTATTGTCTACTGTCTACAAATGTTATTGTTTTTTCTTTGTTTATATGTGTATAACTGTACATATTAGTCTTTGGCTATTTCATTTAGCTTGTTTTTATGTTTATTTAAGCTTATTCTGTGTTTGTACAATGAGAGTAAAGAAGAGAGAAAGTAAAACCAGAGTCAAATTCCTTGTATGTGTGCCCATACCTGACCAATAAAAGATAAGAATCTGATTCTGATTCTGATTCTGTGTGAAGTCCTCAGCCAGATCTTCATCCAGAAGAGCAGACAGATTTATTTCTTACAGCGCATAAACTGAAACTCCTGATCTACTCATTTTATTTCAGCACAGACCACTGGAAACCCATGAGGGGACTTTGTCCCTGTTTTAAATTATTCTGTAAGAGATCAGTGCTTCTTCTACTAATATCCATGCTACTGACAGACACTTTCATCAACTTAACCAACACTTCAGTTTAGGCTGAAGTATGTTACTATAATCAAGTGTTACACGGCTTTAATATCTATAAAAATGACAAAAATGTCAAACATTTCAAGTGTCATCATTTCACTATCAGCTGCTACATACTACCAAAGATTGTTTGAAGGACCTGTAAGATGTAAGAATTTTTAGCATTTTTAGCAAGCATTTTTATTCTTTAACAGTTTGACCATTTTTGTGTGGAAGTTTTGTCTTATGTAAGACCCGACCACAATGGTTCACCTTGAAAACAAAGAAATAACTCACCTATACTGTACTGAAACAAATGTACTGAAAGCTCGACAGTATATGTTCAGCACATTTGATTAAACTATAAATATTACTACAAGTATACAGGAATAATCTCTTAAATGTTTCTTTAATCATATTTACTGCTGCTTTCTTCAAAAGACAACTATGATATATAATTATTAGATATATTTGTATGTGTAATTCAGATTAAGTATAGATTAGTAAGATTAGTATACTTGTACTCTCGACCAGTGGTTCTCAACTTTTTTGGTGTCAAGGGCCCCCAAATTGATTCACATCAGACTGCGGACCTGTATTTGATAAGATAAGTAGTCTCATGGATCCCCGTCTGATAAGATATTCCTTATAGTTATTCATGGCTATCTAGATTAGCAGATTAACAGTAAAGAGTGTGAGACCTATGAACACAATCCTTCATATACATTCTCTCATTCTGCTAACTTTTAGCTAATTAAATGATAGTGGAATTAAAATATTCTCCATTTTTACCAGGGACCCACTGAAATCCCCTCAAGGACTCCTGAGGGCCCCTGGACCCAGGTTGAGAACCAATGCTCTAACCCTTTTAAAGGCTTGAAGGTGTTTTTCTTTCACACAGGAACTTTACACATCCCCTGCTCTAGATGAACAAGCACAATCACTGGAAACGTGTGAACAGTGACGGTCCGTAACAAAACAGAAGGGGTCTGTGAACATGTGCAGCGGTTAACGTTAGCCTTAACTGCCATCTAGTGGGAGGTATTGGCTTTGCAAGAAAACTGACAACATCAAACTCCTACATTGTGGATGGAGTCAACAAGACTGACCATTTAAAACAGATCCTTAATCAGCCATGGGTTAAATCACTGTCACCTGGACATCCACTGCCTCAGTCTATCTTTCATCTGTTTTTATTTAAAGGTATAAGCTGATCATTATAAATCAACAAAGTGAATGCTGAGTTTTTAAACCCCAATATTAACCTCATTCCTTTTTTTTTTATGTTATTCAAGTATGCAATGAAGGGGATTTAGCCCCTAAAACTATTATAGACTATGCTTAAATGGGTGAACAGTCTGTCTGTAGCTACATTTTACTATATATCATCTTAATATTCCTAAATAACCAATGTTTACTATGATATTTGCATGTCATGTAACGTATTACTGTTAACCTTCAATGAAAAACTACTAAAACCCTGTAAGGCCAATACCATTACATGTTAAGAAACTATTATGTTATTATAACAATTTGCATTGTACCACGTTTCTCAAGAAAAAACTGGTTTGTCCTTTGTCAAGGTTGCATTCATGTTTTTTTTCAGAAGTAATAACCTCCTGTGTCAAAAGGCATATAAAAGTGTCAGTAGTACAAATAGGCTGCATATATTCTCACACCGCTGCACAAAAGGATGTTTTGGTGTCATAAAACCAGCCTGGCCGTTTTCACCGCGCACAACATGCCACAATTACGAGCAGAGAAAGGTGAGTTTAAAGATCTACCGAGGAGCACCTGAAGGCAGCACCACTGGGAGGAGGAGGAGGAGGAGGAGGAGGAGGAGGAGGCGGCTAACTATCGCTGCATGATCACACTGAGCACACCCTGCCAGAGAGCTAGTCAGTGTTAACAGGCACATAAAAATGTCGGGGAAGAGTTTCAGAGTCAGCGATGGCGACTGGATTTGTCCCGATAAAAAGTAAGTGCAGTAGATTGACGCATCTCACGCATTAGCTGATTATATGTTAGATGTTTGCTCATCGCTAATGTGCTAACAGGTTAGCTCAGTTAGCTTAGGCCTTCTAGGATGTGGTTCCCGCTAACATTGACTTGCTACGTAAACTAAGTTGGCTAACTTTAACCGTATTTCTCCCCTATTACCGACGCCGTAAGCGTAGAAAAATAAACAACACAGACACATCAAGTGGGCATTTATTTACGTTTTGGATTTACGTTGTCAGGAAGTTTTAATATAAGTTATTGTGCGTAGACTTAGAAATAGCAAGCTAGCTACAGTTAGCTTCCGTGGTTTGGTTTCGGGGTGAGTCCCCACTCACTATTGTGGGTGGTATTTACAATGTTGTAGAAGCCAAGTTGTCACGAGTGTAGAGTCTAACTTGGGTATTCAGCAATATCGCGTTTCAAGTGAACTGTGAACTAAAAACGTCTTAAGTGACAGACAAGCCAGCTGCAGTTGTCAGTGCACAGGCCTTTGAAGTGGGTGTGCAACGAAACACTAGGACAAATAAACTCACACTACCTATCTAACTTGTAGTTCACTAAGCATATGCGTGAATCAGTAAGTAGCAAGCTCAAGCCTTGTGTTGCATCTATAATATATGTATTATTTTTGTGCTTCTGCAGGTGTGGAAACGTGAACTTTGCTAGAAGAACTAGTTGTAACAGATGTGGCAGGGGTGAGTCCTTGTCTGTGCAAGTTATTATATCTTCCAGAAGTTTAATGCATGCTTTCAAAAGGCTGCTGTATTATTAACGTTGTTTTGTTTCCCACAGAGAAAACCACAGAGGCCAAGATGATGAAAGCAGGAGGGACAGAGATTGGGAAAACTCTGGCCGAGAAGAGTCGAGGCCTCTTCAGTGCGAATGATTGGCAATGCAAAACGTACGTCAGTGGTAAACTATAAGTGACTGTCCAAATGTTTGATTAATCAGACACTGCAGCAAGTAGTAATGATCGAAATACATAAGAAAACCAAGCGTTTTACTAAGCTAGACGTACATTTTAATTTGAAATATGTTTAGTTTGACAGATGTTTATTTTCCTTCCCTCTTGTTTTCATACAGATGTGGCAATGTGAATTGGGCTAGAAGGTCAGAGTGCAACATGTGTAACACACCGAAATATGCCAAGCTTGAAGAGAGAACAGGTACCCCAAAAACATATATAGTTTGCTTTTGAATTAGAGCCTGAATTCACCAATAACTGATATGGTGGCTGATACAGAGACTTTCTGAGCTTGAATAGAAATATGTTATATATGTGGAGTTATGTGAAATATGTGGACTTTGCACCAATGTCACTTTGCAAAGGTACTGAGAAGGCTGCTTTCTTAAAAAATTGAATTTAGTAAAGAAATTTTAAGCTAAACATTTTTAACATTAAATCATTTGTCTTATACATTGTCAACGTGTTGTAGTTGACATTGCTGAGAGCTGCTTCTTCTCTCTCACTCTGTGTTGCTTGCCACAGTGTTGTAAAATCACAGTGCACTCTGCTGGACACCAATATATTACAGCAAGCATTTTCTTCTACATTATATATGTGTTGTATATTTCTTTTATATATAAAATATACGCAGATACCAATATGGTCAATATTAACCAATATATTGTTTGGGCTCTATTTTGAATACTTATTCATTTTTTTGTGTTTCAGGTTATGGTGGAGGTTTCAATGAAAGGGAGAATGTGGAATATATTGAACGGGAGGAATCTGATGGCGAATACGATGAAGTGAGTCCTTCCTTCAAGTGCAATGTTTGATAATTTAAGCATTTTATATACTGTAAGTCACATGTAACCATACTAGTGTTTAGCAGGTAGAATCTTAATGTGTCCTGATGAATTAAATTTGTATTGCGAGAGGTCTTCAAATATGTTGTTCAAATGTCACAGTTTGGTAGGAAGAAGAAAAAGTTTCGTGGAAAGACCAACAGCACATCTTCCTCAAAAGAAACTGAAAAGAAAGAAGTAGCTAAAGCTGCGCCTGAAGATGAGGAGGAGGAAGAAGACGAGGAAGAGGAGGAAGAAGGGGATCTTTCCAAATACAAATTAGACGTAAGATTGGTGGCTGTAGCTGGAAATTCGAAAGACCAAATATCATAACAACAGCCCATTACAGTGTTTTTAACAAAAACAACAACAACATCAAACGCTTCCTTTTCCAGGATGATGATGATGAAGAGGAAGACGAAGATGGAGACCTGTCGAAGTACGACCTGGACGCCAGCGATGATGATAAGGCAGCTAAGAAAAAGGGCAGCCGCTCTGGTTCTTCGCGCTCCCGCTCGTCCTCTCGCTCCTCCAGCTCCAGTTCACGGTCGAGGTCCAGGTAAAAGGGTACAGGTCAAGGGTAACTCCGGGCAAAATGTCAGTATCAGCTCAATCTTCCTTCTGATTTACTGATCAACATCAATTACATGTCCTTTAATGCTGATTTGTTGTTTTTCTCTTTTCTCAACTCCTCCCCTTCTGTGGTGTTAGAAAACTCGGACTTGCAGACTGAATGATCTTACTTGTATTTTGTGTTTTGTTTTACTTCAGATGGAAGGAATGCGTTATTCATACTGCACTCTGACTCTCCTTTTTGCACTTGTTATATATTAATTCACCTGCTCCCCCTTTTGATTGAGTTGTTGCATACAGCTGTAGTTTAGGTGTCTGTTCTGTTTTTGGTTGTTACACCTCCAAACCCCCACATTTAGTTAGTCTATGTAGTCTACAGTTGTGCTACACAGGCAAGAATAGTTTTAAGTATTTCTCTAAATTTAAAGTTAAATATCACGTCTGTGCATTGCCATGTGAACCGTCTTGCTTATTTGTCTTGTTCAGAAAATATTGGAAAGGTTCTGTTTCTTGTCTTTCAGGTCCCGCTCTAGAAGCTCATCCAGTTCCAGGTCTGGATCTCGCTCGAGGTCCCACTCCAGGTGAATGAGGTGACATGCACTCTCTCCCTTAGAGAGTGTATGTACGGGGCTGAAAGCTTCAGAACAGTCCTATTCCCTAGTTTTAAGTTTTAACAAAGACTGGATAGTGCTGTGACGGCTCTGAATCACTTGATGTAGGGTTATTTCAAGTTTCCATTAGGCCTGAGAGTATAGAAAGTACACAGTTTGACTACCTGAGCTGAGTTTTAATGTTAGCAAGGCTCAAGTCTGAATAGACATCTGGGGTCTTAATCAAGCGTCTCTCAGTTGTCGTGCTGGTTTTGCCTTCTCAGTTAAAGTCAGTTTATTCCATTAAAAGCTAAACATTTCCTAGATTGTGAACCATTTTGAGGACACTTTATTCAGTGAGTCCATAATTAAGGGCTCTTAAATCAGAGAAGCTTGATAAATACCCACGCTGGTGAGACTCTATCTTGACCTTACTGACCTCACTACTTGGTTTATTCCTCCAAAAGATCCAGCTCCAGGTCTGGAAAGGGCTCCTCTCCCCGGAAGAGGTCCCGCTCACCCTCCTCCTCACCTGAGAGGACACAGAAGCGCAGTCGCTCCAGGTCCTCATCTGGAGGGAGAAAGAGGAGGCGTTCTAGATCACGTTCGTCCGAAAGGTTTGGGTTTCTGTGGAATACCACAATGGCACTGATTATTATTAGCCAACTGTCGCCTCGCTTAAGGGAATTCAGATTTACAGAAATACGTTTCTTGCCTTTTTGTTATATTGTTTTTTTTTATATATACACGTTGTGCCCTTGTATTTGTTTCAAGTATGCATGATTGAATGTTAATAGCCGAGCCTGCTGACCTGTGCTTTTCTTCCCATGGTGTTTGTGTGATTTCAGGTGCGGCGGCCAGTCCTCTGGATCCTCCCATTCTGGCTCCAGTTCAAAAAAGAAATAACTTTATTACAGCCTTTAAGACAAGAAAAGGAACCTTAGTACAAGTGCATGTTGTGTTGCAAGGAAAAACAACCACATCCTTTCAGTATGCTGTTCATTTTCATAGAAAAGTCTTATTTCCCTCAACAACAACAACAACAACAACAACAACACAAAAAAAAAAAGACAGAGGCAACATGACTTCTCTGCCGTTATCATTATATGTCCCTTTTTAAAACCACACAACCCCCAATCTGTGACAAGTGTCTGTAATTACAGGTGTCCAATAAACATAAATGTTTGGTCCTGTAAGAAAATCAGATATACTGTGAAGAGGCTGTATCCCATTTTAAACCCATTCTGCTGAATATCTTCGTGGCAGTACATTTTATTCTACTCATCTGTGGAGAAATTGAAGTGAACATTTTTTTATTACTTTTTTTGGCCCTAGGAAACATCTATTTCCAAATAAATACTGTCTTCATTTGAATAAAAAGTGAAGTACTTAAGCACCGATTTAGAATACCAGAGATGTAGCAATGAATTTTGGCCCCATTTATTTTATTTTCTTGATAAATATATAATTTTTCTTTTGTGTTTTCAAGGTAAGTATTTTACTTTTTGATATTGCTTGTTTTAAGTAAATGGCAGCGAGTTCAACATTCTTTGGTTTAGGTTTAAGTGTTGTGTTTTTTCTTTACACAATTGACACCTAGTTTACCACTCACTTATTCCTCTTCGTTTGTCACCTGGGTAACTAATGAATTCAAGAGATTACAGATTTTTGTGCTTCAGATTAGTGTTTAAAGGATAAACATGCAGTATGTCCCAATTTATGGTAGAATGTGGCAATACAGTCTTTTTATTGGTAAAACAACTCAAATGTACACGTGTAAATAAAATCCTGTCAACATTGTGTTTTTTTTTGTTACTTCCTTGTGTGTCTGGGAGAAGAAACCTAGTTCATTTAGCACTTTAAATGTTCCTTAAATCTGGCAGATGTATGTGTATAATCCTGGTATCACTATACTTGAGATTAATAGTCTGACATTTAGCCATTATTTAGTGAGTTACAGTAAGTACAGACAGTTAAAATTAACACAGCAGTCCAGTGAAAGTTAATTAATTTGTCAGTAATGTTATTTTAAATTGATATGAGCTGTACTTAATTAGTACTTGATTAATGGGGGAATTTGTTAGTAGTCCATGAGTTACATTTTCCGTTATTGTGTAACGTTAAGAGGCTTTTCAGAGCTGACCTGCGGTTACTAGGTAACTAACGTCGTTACTTGCGTTGCTGCGGTAACGCTAGCTGCGAAATTAGTTTCAAATGTTAAATTACATATGAAATGTGATGTTTCATCGTTATAGACTACAGTAGCACTTAATCCATTGTGACTGACTCTCCTGCAGTTTATAGTTCATCATGTAAAAAGTAGCTCTAATGTACAATCTGACTGACGGTAGGATGCAGTCAGTGTAAATACGGAGTAATTGAATAGGCCTACTCAACATGGGGCCCATGCTCCACACTTGTGTTGTTTTCATTCCGGTCAACAGGGGGCACTTGTTACTCCAGGTATGTTGAGTGTAACCTTAGATATACTGTCAATGAGTAACAGAAGGGCTGAATACTTTAATAAGCTGATATGAAATGTAACTTACTGCATTCAGACTTAAATGAATTGTTTTGCTGCAAAGTTTTGAACAGATTCAGAGCTACACGTGCTGTTTGTGTATTGGTAATAGTTACACAATAATAATGTAATATGGACATTTTTCTTGTATGCAATATAGGCCCAATTGCCAGAGTTTACTGAATGCACGAACCCACAACGCATTTATAAAAAGATACGTATTATGGTTTAATCATATTAATTATCTAAGCCAATTAAGGCTTAGATATTTATATGAGAAATGATGCACAACTTAATTCCCTTAAATGTGAATGTCCCTCTAATGATCACCATCCGGAGGTAGCCAAATGATTTAATACAGCCCACTTTTAATCCTGTCAGTATGCCCTAGCTCTGCTTCCAGAGGCTTACGGCCAGTGTTTCACTACTTTCTCCAGCTAAGAGGCACAGATCTGTTTATTTATTCCCACATCTCATCAGATGAGTCTGGATGGTGCCCTAATCTCTAGCATCTTGACTCATGTGGGGTCCAAAGCAGGTGCGATAGTGTTACTCTGAAGTGTCGCAGTCTATACTTGTGAATATAAAGTTAATTAACTAATAACCCCACAAAACCGACATATGAGGTCTCTAAAAGTCGGGTTAATGATTTAGTAAGTGTATGTAAAACCATATGCAGCCTCAGATGTTTGCTCCGTCTGAGCGCTTTTCTTGGTAGTCCCGCCTCCAGCTTGTAGAGGACCCGACGCGCTTTTACGCACCGCATTCATTTGGAGGAGTTTTAAGCGCAAGAGGATGCCAGGCGCACACACAGGTTTCCCACTGCATGTTGGCTTAACCTTCCCCAAAGGATGACTAAGGACGGCTGTGATTATCTAGTGAGCTTGCAGACCACAATTGGAGAGATGCAGGGCGCAAACGTCTCCAAACCATCGTGCGAAGGCACCAAGAATTCCAGCTGTGGATCTGTATCAGTGGGTTTCCCTATAACCATGATGATCACTGGCATGGTGGGCAACACGTTAGCTCTTATTCTGGTGTGCATCTCTTACAGAAAGAAGGAAAATAAAAGGAAAAGATCGTTCTTACTTTGCATCGGATCTCTGGCGTTAACTGACCTGTTCGGACAGCTTTTGACCAGTCCAATAGTAATATCAGTCTACCGAGCTGGTAAGAATTGGAAGAGTATCGACCCATCCGGCCATTTATGCGCTTTTTTCGGTGTGTGCATGACAACTTTTGGCCTGTGCGCTCTCTTCTTGGCCAGTGCCATGGCAATTGAAAGGGCTATGGCGATAACAAACCCCCACTGGTACTCCAACCACATGAAGACAAGTGTGACAAAGCAGACTTTGGCTGTCATTTGGTGTCTCGTGTTGCTCTTTGCGCTGCTGCCCATTGCAGGGGTCGGGGAATACACACAGCAGTGGCCGGGCACCTGGTGCTTTATCAGCACTGGGGACAGAGAGGTCTGGGGCAATATGTTTTTCTCCATCACTTTCGCTGCACTTGGGATTTTCTCTCTGCTTGTAACACTTTCCTGCAATGTAGTGACCATCCGGAGCTTAATTATCCGCTGTAAAACAAAGTCTGGCACGTCTCAGTCCTCAAAACAGTGGGAAAGGCTCACCACGGAGACCGTCGTTCAGCTGTTAGGGATTATGTGCGTCCTCCTTATATGCTGGTCTCCTCTGCTGGTATGTGTTTGCAGGTCACTGCTGCCTATACATTACTTTTCGTATACAACCATGTCCAGATATGCTCTCTCATAGTCTCATACAGTTAAAGCTCTTGTACTTATATGATATAGTAGCCAGTGTCACAATTCACATTGTAATTGGGTTTTATTGACAGCTGCCTGTCTTTGTGTCTCTGGAGATGCTTCATCTCCACATGCACAAATACAAACCATGCAGGAAAGTCACATAAATTATGCCATGTATGATTCCTTTGAAACACTGCTGCCATTTTCCATTAAGGAGCAATCTACTTAGCCGAGTCCTGTTTGGGGGGTCTGCTCAGTGTGCTGTGAGGTCATGCATTGTCAGTCACATATTAAATAGTCTCACCAAGGATATTTATAGAAGCCACAGCACTCATGGCAGAGAGTGAGTACCTAGAGTGTTAACATTATGTTTTTCTCCAGGTCATTTGATACTATAGCTGCTCTGGATTGTCTTTGGGATTAGTGTCAGCCACATTAAATATTAAATGTATTAGGACCTGCCCACAAAATCCAAAACTATTATCTCAGCCAAAAAGTGTGCATATGATATAACATAGACCTCTGAAAGGTTATCTCAATTTCAATAAAGAACGTAAATTGGATTACTGAATATTCTATAATTAAGTTAGGCCCCTAACATAAAAGAAGTTATCTCAGGACAGTTTTTCCTATAGTTTTCATATAGAGCAGGTCTACGTCACACTCCTATAGGCCTTGTTTCATAATACAGACCTGTGACATGCCTCCGTTGCAACAAACAGTGTGTGCCTGCCTCTTTCCTCAGGGTCTGATGCTGAGGATGATCTCTACCCAGGTATCCTCCCACATGTGCAATTCAACAGCAACAACCTCCAATCACACCTCGAGCCAGGATGTCCATTTGGACTGTAACTTCTTCCTGACAGCGATCCGCTTGGCCTCCCTCAACCAGATCCTGGACCCATGGGTCTATCTGCTCTTTAGGGAGATCCTCCTTCGCAAGTTCTGCATCGTGGCTAACGCAGTGTCCAACTGCTCCATAGAGGATCAGAAGGAGCCCCAGGCGGCTCTGGACGCTCTTAATAAGCAGAACCATGATGGCAACAACCTTAAACCACAAAGTAGCTAAGCTGAGCTTTTACAGGAATTGTTATCTTGTGACTTTGAAGCCAGATTGGATGGATGTCAAAATGGATACAGTATGGTCTTGGATGTGAAAAAAAATGTGGATTTTTCCATGTCCACTACAGAAGGACATTGTGCAGTGGGAGACAAGAGTAGTCTCTATCATACTGGTAATGAGAACCAGCTGAGTCTGTTCTGGGTACTTTTGTTTTGCATAAAACACATTCAGAGTCACCTAACCAGCATGTGGATGCATGACCATGTCACCACTCACATTTGGCTACAGCGTGGCTGCCAGGAACTCTCTCATTGCTAGTTCTCAGTTTTTAAAACAACATCTCCAAGGGCCAAGAATTGAATATGCGTGACTCTAAACTGACTTATATGGAAGAAGTGCATCTTTGAGTCATTGCTTTCAACAACTTGAAGCCATAATCCAACTAAAGGACAAATGGTTTTTGTGAATGTCTGTAAATTAAGAAACTGTAAATTGCTTATATTAAGTTGTAAATAGCTTTTCCGTGTCTTACATGAAATGTAATAACTTTGTTTAAAAAGGGATGGGTGGTCATTTAGGAGAAAAATGCTAATCCTAAACTGGAGCCAATTGTTGATTGTAAGATTATTTATTAGTGTTTGTCGTAATATGAAGTTGGTTGTTTCTGTGCTGAACACTGATGAAGGGTATCAGTTGTTGTAAATGTTATAATACACTGTACGTGGTGTTCGTTGAATAACAGCCAAGACTCTGAAATGTGAAGCTTTTAGTTTGTTGCCACTTTTCCTCCTGAATATGAATGCACTGGTAAGCTGTTGTGCAATTAATTTCTTAGCAATTTCCTTTTCAGAATAAAAGAAAAGATAAAAGAATAGGCCTCTCTCTCATCAAAGTGTGTGAGAAAAAGGACTGTAGATTTGTGCTGTTCAATATTATGAGATTATGGATGACAGGGTGGCCTGTTACTGTAATTACAAGGCTCTAGCTATCACTGTCATCACTATTGCATTGGATTAAAAGTATTCTTGTTCTGTGAGCACACAGTGTGTAATTATAAGCATACCTAATTACGCCAGCCAGAACTTTTTGGAGGAAAAGAAAAATGATTGGTGCTTTTGACCAGTAGAGAGAGTTTTTTTTTTTTTTTGGATACAAGGCTGATGAGTAGAGATATAATGGAATGAAGAAAGTCATGTTCAAGCTGCCCAAAACACAGACACCATAGAATTTAAAAGATTAAAGATCTTGTTGGCCAAATTTGTTACACCCAATGTGCTGTGGCTTCACAAGCTTCCATCAGTGTGAGGGCCAATAGTCTCATTAATAATTCATTCTACTGGGTGTTTTAGACATGTTTGCTTGCTACATGAATTCATGCTTTTAATTCTGTGGCGACTGCTTTGGACCTGTTGAACGTATTCCACAATTTTTTTTCTTATTGGCCAAATTGTATCCTTATAGCGCTGATGTTACCTCTAAATGGAGGTAAATGTTAGTGTACAGTGCAATTTCTCAGAGGCCTCAGATGAAGAGTGACTGGACTTTTTCAGCAAGGTGGTTTAATGTTATTTATGTTGCATATCACCATCTGATTGCCGTCCATAGGCCTGCTGTAAATGTATTCAAAGAGGTCCCGCATCTCAGTCAAAGACATCTCAAGGATGGACGCTTTTGCTGTCATGGTAACCCTCAGGTTGCAGGACAATTTCTCACACCAACGCCACAACTCTGCCTTCTCAGCACATAAAGCAACAAGACTACGTACACTCTGCTCTGCCCAGTCTTGCCTTTTGTCTTTCAAATGTGAGAATACATACTCACTGATCATGACTCTGTTGGAAACTGCTATGTGCTAAAGCCATGTGAAAAATGAATATTTAATGTTTCCATGCAACGTGATTGTGAAGCCGGTCTGCCTTAGTATCCCACCCAAACTATTAACCTCGGTGAGTGAAAACAAGGACGATATTATGCGTTTTGTTCAGAAACCAACAATTTTGCATTATTTATAATTTTTCTGGAGTTTATTGCCAGTTATGAATGTGCAGGGGGGGTTACATATTGCACCTTGCTTGTTAACATGTGAAAACACAAATGTATTCAGTTTCATTAATGTCTAGGTGCTATCACACTGACATGAGGTGTGTTCATTTTAATGACTGCTGCTCTAATTGAGCTTGTGGCTCTGCATTATGAGCTTTTATTCCAAACACATGTTCACCTCGTGCAGCAGTTAATATACACCTCAAAAAGTAACATCTGCGGTTTAATCCATTCATTTAAAGCAATGATTGTGTTTATTCTCAAGCTGCAGTGGGATGAGGGAGGTTTTACCGTTTACTCAATCGGCCTCCAATCTGCGTCATGTGATTATCTCAGTTCTCTGTCCAGGAGACTCTGAAGCTTCCAGCTCTTCAGTAAAGAAACAATGATTACACAAGGGAATATGCCCTTAAAGCTAACTGGCCCTACATGTGGTTGTGAATTCTCCAGGGTCTTACATCCCACCCAACCCCCACAGTGGAAAGGAAAATAGCTGAATAATAATTCATTCTTTGTAAATAGAAAACACGATACATTTCAACCCTCCTTGATGGCCCCATTTAAAGCCTATAATGTTTGCCAGGAGTGCTTTCTGTAACATTACAGTGCTTTTACCGTTATGAATGTTCATTAGTACCAGGAGAGTTATGGAAATATCTGTATACTCCAGTTTATTGGTCCACATGGCATAATCTTCATAGGCAATGATAGTTAATGTCTGTCAAAATCTAATTAGCTTTCTGCTACAAACATGCTATCACATATCAAAATTACACACAAGCCTCTTTTAGAAATGATTCTTTGAATTAAATCTTCGACTGTCAGGACTCTTAAGTTTGGTTTGCTCACCTGTTTGAGAGGTGTTTATGTGTGTAGGGGGAAAAACCATTTCAGCTGACAATAACTAACGAGAGTCCTGCACCAGCATTGAAGGGGGTGTACAATTACATAATGATTTGAAACAGGCTTTATGAGGTCCGGAGAATCCGGCATTGCCAGCTGGCTCCATCTCTCTCACTCAAGTCACTAATGCATGGAAGTGATGTTCTGATTGCCTTGTGAGCTAATGAGTCACTTGATGTCTTGAGATTTCAAGACAAGAACAGATTGTTTCTGATAGAAAAATGTTTGATCATTTTGATATTTTGCATTTGTGCTCCATTTCCATCTGCCGCATTGTGAATACAGGGTTAAGAAATGATTTGCTATGTTGAAGCTTGAAGTCATACATCTTTGTTCAGCTTCCTTGGAAATCCTAGATTTAAATGCTTTAGTATTCAGGTGATTATTTTCTGATGCCGTTGGACACATATTGTGCCATAATAATCATTTTGACGGCCTCTATCAGCCAGAAGTGAGGTAGAAAAACAGAAAAGCATTGAATTCCTGTAAACTTCTGGTGTTGGATATAGTCATCAACTTTACACAACGTCAACAGTTTGTACTTTCTAGACAGAACTGGATATCTGGATAAGATCTATTCTCTTTATTGTTCCTGTGGTACAAAGAATCACAGACTGGCACAAATAGTTAACATGTGAGCAGTTCACTGATAAAGTACAAGATGATCTTTGCTGCCATTTTGAGCTACCACCAAGTAAAGTTTCCTTCTCCAGTTTCAATAATACAAAACATGTCATCATGAGTTTAGCTTGAAGCAATTTTTAAAATTAAGATTCATTAAAGGTACAATAAAGTCAAACATTAAGTGTAATTATTGTTCAGAGGGAAGAACTAACCTGGCAGGTACAACAAGCAAAGTGTCACTCAAGTCTGTTTAAAGAGCACACGATGGTGTCACATGCTCATACGATACAATGGAAACAGGTTTGGCCCACCAGCCAAGGCTCTACTGATGAATGTAAATAAATACCGGCTGTCTATCAGATGTCATCTTCTTATCTTTTGTTCACATTATGCCTCTGCTCGTGAATGTAAACAACTCTGTGCAACTCTGACACACGATTCTCAGATGAGGGCTATTTAAACACTTTCACAGCGTTTCTTTGACAGCACTCTTTTATTTCTTTATTTCTCCTTTCATCCTGTGTTTACAACCTTATGTAATTTTTTTACCTTTAACATACCATCATAGACAGTCTTACGTAACATGAGGTGAGATGAGGTGAAAAGAAGAATATCTACCTACCCATCAAAGTGTCCTTTTAGTACTTTATGTCTTTGTCCTCTACTTGACTTCTATCCATTCCACATGCAATGCACTTTTGATTCATTTTGTAGCAGTGTCCTCGTGTATGCCGTGGTGTAATGTTTTCTATTCTATTAAAGGATATGAACATATTTTTTCAATATGTGTTGGGCTTTTGTGGCTGCATGTTTTTCTTATTAAATATTTATACACTTTCACTATTATACTAATTAATGACTGATGCAAGAGGAGTGTACAGTGTTTTACAAGTATGAACTCCGGTTTGACTGAGCCAAACTGAGTATTGGGGGCTTTAGCAACTGTCACGCTCCACAGTGAATTGTGAAATGAAGTTAAAAAAATTTTTTTTTAAAAAAGTGATTATATTTGGCTTTAATTTTTATTTTCACAGTTTCTCATATGTGTAACAAAGAAAGACATGAAAGACATTAAATATACTGAATGTGGAGATATCATTATAGCATTTTACACCCTGGTCCTATTTTCCCTTGTTGAAATTGTCTGACATATGAGAACGTTTAAATGAGAATGATGTGATTGTTTTTCACTGGTGAATGTTTTGAGAACTGTGGATGTTTTTAAATGCTGCTGGCCATTTCAGAGCATGTGTTATATGGGCTGCTATTGTTTGTTGACCTTGTGCATTGGGTTTCCATGAGCCAATAAATGGAATAATGTTCTACAAAACGCTGTATAGATGAGTCATTGCATTGCAGATTTTTTAAAGAGATATAATGCATGAAACCAAGGCTCCTGATTATTAATGTTTGGTGAAGTTAAATTACTATATATGAGTGCATACTGCATTTAATATATTCTACATAATATATAGAAGACAAGAAATATTTATTTTGTTTTTAATCTATTTATTTTAAATAAATGTAAAAAACAAAAAACCAACCTGACCAATCACTGGATTTACCCTACTAGTGAGATGAGTGAGTAAGAATATATAACTGTTCAAATCTTTAGAGACTGAAGTACTCATTTAAATTTGTTTAGGATCAGATAAGCCCCAGCCATTTCCCAAAAATCCGTAACATACACTTTTACAAACTACCTTACATGTGGAGAAAAGGGCAAAGGCCTTGATTGATGTCTAGTAATGGAAAGCTATTATCATTAAATACTTGCATTTAACTTAAGTATGCAGAGACCTCCACTCTTGATATTGGTTTATATTTTATTTTTTTGGCCTTGTTACACCTTAGCATTTTGTTATGTGTGGCGACCTTCTCAGACATATTCACAGTGTTTCTTCAGAGTTTGAAAGCGAAAACTTAAATGCCAGTTAAAATTGTGCCAATTTATGAAGTACATGACAGTATTCAGGTGGAGCCGCCTCCTTTTGAATGTCAAAACCACTAATTAGGATAAAACAAAGCTCCAACTGTATTTCACTATCTACGACAGGAGGCGGGAAGAAAGGAGGGGCTAAATGGTGCCTGGTTTTGATCAGCCTATGAGAGGATATTTTAAAAGCTCTACAGTCAGGTAACCCTTAAGCAAGTATGAATCCCCAAGTGTTGAGATATCTAATACCCTCAGTGGCACACAGTACTAAACTGTGTCTCAGTTTTTAGGTGTGAATGTACCTGAAAGAGTGTGAAGTTCCCACTGAACACACCCTCAATAAATAAAAGGTAAAAGATCTTTCCATTGCTATATAAATGAGGCTTTAATTAAATTAGCCATGAATTGCGTAAATCGCCAGTCTGGGCTCAGCACACCAGGTAGTCACTTTATTGCTAAGTAAGGGCAATGTCTGCATCTGATAAATTCTAGTGGGCCCATTAAATGCTTTATGAGCCCATTATTCATCGCTGTTAAGGTCAACAGACTGAGGATGTATATTTTCTATTAGAAAAGCACTTCTGTGTACATATTGCACTATATCAGTGTGTTAATATGAATTATACATATAAACCTCACTGGTGGGTGTGTGTGTCTGTGTGTGTGTGTGTGTGTGTGTGTGTGTGTGTGTGTGTGTGTTCTCAAAGATTCTAGACATACAAACAAAATCCATATTTACAGATAAAACTACAACATGCATCTTATTTAGCTTGAGAGGATGAATGGGATGCAGTCTAAAAGGGCAATTTTAGACTTCAGATAAAAACATGCTGGTCTGGTGCTCAAAATGTGTGCTTCTTTAAATTATATTCTTGATCTTGGTGAACCAGCAGTGTCTCTTTGTGATAAATGTGCAGGACCAGTGCTATATAACTGTTTACCTATTCATACCAAGTGTTTTTTTTAAAAAAAGGTTATTTTCCCAGATTTAGAGGCAAGCGGTGAGGAAGCACTGTTGCAATGATTGTGTCTCATGTTTTGTTGGATCACTGGAGTTCAGTCTCACTCTCAAGTGCTCACAGAGCTGTGTCAGTTTTATTGATTATAATATAATTAGTAATTGGGTAACAATTGGTAATAACCCAATTGGGTGTGTTATTGGGATTTTATAAATGTAATTTTTGTAAATAATAATTTCGGCAACCTCAGCAGACAAAGTTGTGCGCACCCCCAGGTTGGGAACCACTGGATTATATCTTCACAAAGGGTCATTGATTTGATAGAAATGTATTGCAAAAAGTGACTCACACTTTTCTCTTTCTTTTCTATTGTTTGGGCAGTGGTCTTGAAGGATGGTTGGTGTAGGACTGCTGCTATTGTTTCTTTAATGCTCTCCTTCCATACACCATTATGCTAAGAGAGATAAATGTCTGTTTCCTCTAAATGACATAATTGCTCCTCAAGGGCCTCTCGCAGAGAAGCGGAGGCATGACTTTAACTGAATTAATCAAGTTGATGATGGATGCTTCTACTTTACCTCACTTATGCTTTTAATGTATACTTTGAATGCATGGACAAGGTTTGTTCGCAGACTGTGTGCTGAGGGAACAAGGCAAGACAACGCTGCTGTGCTCTGTGAGAGGACTGGTATTAGTATCCTCAGGTCAGTTAAACAACCAGGATGAGTCAAAAGGTCGCCTGCTGGCTGCAGAGCGGATCCAACAGCGTCCCTTTGCCTGAACACAATTACTCAGATTGCTGTGGAAAAGGTTCGGCTGTCTGTCCTCGGGCAATTCATCCGTTATGGCCCCAAACATAGTGGTTGGTATGTGATGTTGGTGCATGCATGCTGCCCCTGAATGACAATGAGGATGAAATAGAAAACATATGCAAAGCCTGTTTACCCATCATAAGTGAGTGGAGATGATAAGAAAAGTGTCCAAATATACGTAAATGTGTCAACAGTTGCTAATTTCAGCAAATTTAAATAACCTCAACGCTCTCACGATTTGATATATAGACTGCCTTATTATTATTCACCACTCCATTGCCACTTTGTTTTTCTCTCAATGTTTTATCTGATTTATGTTTTTTATTAACGTTGGGAGGATTGTGGTCAGTCTTTCCGAGACCCCTATCAGTTTCTATCCCACAGTCTGTCACTGTTGCTCTCTGCTGTCCAAACACAAACTAATGAAGCCATAAATCCATCCCACACCTGCTTAGCAATGCCAGTCCAGCAAAAACACTCATCTTTGATCAATAAATTTCTTGCAGTCAAGCTTTTATCCTAAAAAAAAAAAAAAACCCTCTTAATATAGCTTCAAAGATACTGGATGGCAATGTTACACTGCTATGTACACATGCTAAATATTAGTCTGACTTCTTTTCAGGAAGTAGACTGATGAGTACAGTCAATTTAGCAACCATTATACAGCTTGTATCTATACCACTTACAAAGATGAGATTTAGATAAATAGAACAATTTCCAATACGAGGATGTCTCCACTGTTTTGTACAATCATTGTACATGGCAATAATGAGTTGTGGTGAGTCAACCCTCGGATTTTGGCCAGTATTGCACTGCTGCAGCATCTGAGATTGTAGCCTCAGGCTGATATTGATTATACAGTAGCACATTACAGATGACTTCATTCTCCTTCTCAGAAAACTGATTATTTACTAAATGTCTATCCATTTTGTTTTTGACATAATCCCTGAAATAGTTAAAACACAAACGTCAAATAATTCACATATTAAGGAACAAAACGTTGGAGTGAGTGGAAAAACAAGTGTCATGATACCTGGATTGCATGTTGCAATAGAAAGACTTTTCCTTAAAGTCTTGGCAACGCTTTGACCAATTAATAGGCATATTGTGTACCTTTTTCTATTTGTTCTCATGGTTGCAATAAAAGCCCTGTACTATAAACACCATAAAATGTCTTTACAGCTTCAATAGATTAGTGTGTGTGTGTGGTGTGTGTGTGTGTGTGTGTGTGTGTGTGTGTGTGTGTGTGTGTGTGTGTGTGTCAATAATGCAAAAAACTTTATTGTTGTTATCACAGTTTATTCTGAATGGTAGGACACTAAAGCGGAAATAACACACACTTTGATTTGATGAATTTAAAAAAAGGAGTCAATGTTCAGGTAGGAAAACATGAAATGGTAACCAAGGATACATTTGCTCTGTGGACAGTAGGTTATGTGTGTGTCAGTGTGTGTGTGTTCAATGACAGTAATAAGAAGGCACCTTGCAAGGTTATGCTTAAAAGGCTGTATTTTTTTTTATAGCTTGTCAATAAAACTTTTTATGACCTTGTGGCATTTAACATAAAGATAACAGCGACACCAAACAAACCTGAAATGAACGTCTCAGATTTTGTTCACCAACTCAATGTTATTTGTCAGCATGGTATCTTATAGAATTACTGTAGAGTAAACACTCTGCTGCTCTCAGGAAACTCAACAAGTAGACACTGAATTCACAGACCTGATTCATTGCCATGGTAACAACATTGATGTTAACTCCTCCGGGTGTTAATTGTCAATGGTGTTAGATTAAATCCGAAGGTATTAAAATAGACATTTTAATGTGGTATTTAAAATTAAACAAACAACAGAACTTCTGTTTTACAGCCTCAGCTGATACGAGAGTTTTGACTTGTTAACAGTATCACGGTCGCCATCTGGTACAGAATGGTTTCATTATTTTGTTTAACATTTATTTATCTTGGGTTATCACACATATTTATTTGTCTTGGGTTATCGCACACATTATATTTTAGCAGTCATCTGCTTCACATGCATATTGCCTGCACTCCCCTCTGCAAGCTGCTCAGTACAA